AGCAGACGTACCTTCGGACGAAGTCAAGGCCATGGAATTCGTCGCGGCTAGTGGGTTCATCGTTAGTTGCTTGTAACTTGTAACACACGTTGTACTGGGTGCTTTGCCAGATTTCATGTTCACCGGTACAATGACCACTCGGTGTTTATTTTTCGCCACCTGGAGCACAACCATTCCCGTCGAAAATTTATTTCGGTCAGGCTGCCTATCAACAGGCGCCTGACGTGTGATTAGTTAAAACAGTGTAATACCCTTTTGAAGTATGGTGCTCCGTCGTCGGAGGTTCGGCATACGTCGCTCATCAACTTGGAAGGATACATACCATCCAGGATATTTACAACTATCGCGTCTGGTGCCGAATCCCATTGCTAAGTAGGTCAGTGATCATTTTGTTTAAGTCGATGCCAGGTCAATTCGAGAGTGTGGTCGTGTACTGTTGGTGGAATCCGGGGCAATAGCTTTGGCCACCTGTACTCTTTCCGCAAGCAGGAAATCGCACTGTTCTGACTTTTCTCAGATGCAGCAAATGTTGATGCTACCCACGGAACCCAGCGTCCTGGGGAAGTAAATTTGAGGCCTCCGACGCTTACTGTGAGGTAAAAGCAATATAATTTTCTTATGACAAATGGCATGGGCATCCCTCGACCCAGGATGTATGTCCTTCACCGAATGCGAGCTGTTCACGCTTTTGCGCAAGCTGTTCTTCTTCTTCAATATGATGGGTACGCAATACACGGTCAACGTGTTCGTTATGGACAATATGACGTCGAAGGTGTGAGCTGATAAAGAATTTCAGCTGCGACACAATGCCGTGCTTTTTTCGTTCACGAGAAGCCATCCAGTAGCAGTTTTGCTTCGTTTGCGTTGCTCTAACCATTGCGGACGATTTTTCACCGCATAACCTGCTTTGATACCGCGGTTGAGTAAGTGGCTGTGTACCGGACTGTAATCACGCGGGTTTCACTATAATTAACAATCATGCGAAGAACAGTCCCCGGGTTTTTCTCCTTTTTGCGTGCTGGTTGTACATTACTCGAAAGTGAGTCCTTCATGCACAGCACAGTTTGGTACATTTCGGGAATGTGATCAATAACCGTCTAGAGAATGCGAACGGGCGTTCCAAGCGGCATATGCATCATGCCAATAGCCTAGAGCACGCCATCCAGGTGGTCTCTGGTCACAGCGGACGGCTTAAGCGCGAGCATTGGATGCGCAACGCTTATCACTGTTACCACTTAAAAATTAGCGAGGGAGGCAGGTAAGTTCTACTTGTGGTTTCCCGAGTTACGACGGATGCTGCCAATCAAGTTCTCGAGGACAACGGCACATGTAAACCAAATATGATATGAGGTCAGACAACACGTTTCAGGGTGAGAAGCCTGTAATCAGTAATACTTATTCTTCGTTACAAAAATCAAAATGTTCTCAGACGGTTAACACTTCGGTTGATATCTGAACATGTTCCTTTTACCAATTTGTGTGGCCACCCTGCTTTCACCTATTATCTGTATTCAGTGGCCACCCGTTCCTCTGCGCATAGTTAATTATTCAAACATACATCACCTAGGTCGATTTCCAAACAATCAACGGTGGCTAACCGAATAGACACTCATCCCTCATCGCCGGTGATGCGAATTATGAATTACGAATTATGAAATTCCAATAATTAACGAGGTTTGAATGTTCTTCCCTCCAGAATCCCTGTCCCGTGAAGTTGGTCCCCGGAATAAGGAAAATGGGGCAACTACTGGTTACGACTGTGTCAATGCATCCAACGAATAAAAAAGAATTTTACCGAGAGCATTTCTTCTTAAATTTGAGGCGGGATCATTGTCAAAAGGAAACTCGCGCAGGCGATGGGACGGTGTTTGAAATAAGTTGTTGAAGTGAATGAAAGCGCGAACAGCTATGAGTATGATGGACCGTCGTTGGCCATTGGATCATGATCAGCGCCTGATAAAGACAAGGCCCAAGCAGTTGCAATAAGTAGTCGAGATCAGTGAGAGTGCATACAGTTGAGTACGAAGGGCCGTTGTTGGCCGTTAGATTAGGTGCTTCGTATAGATGCTCAGCGTCCCACATAGACAGGAGCCTAGCAGTTTCCATAAGTAGTCTAGGGTAGTGACAACGGTTACCGTTACCAAGGTGACAGCTTTATGACGATTGCCGCCTATGAAGCGTCATTTTCCCAATAGGAATTATACTACTGTGTCGGTAATTTACATACAGTCATCTTCTCACGCTATAATATCCACAGACTAGTCATGAATTTCTGTGCAAGGGAATCATCCACAGAGTGGCATCTCCGTTGCACAATTCATGCCGTTGTATAACGATGTAGTGCTTACTAAGAGCTGAGCTCCACAGGAAAATTGGTTGTGTCGACGTTTGTTGGACGAACTCATCCCACTTGTTAAATTTGAGGAGTGAAAAGCAACGGCCGATCTCCCAGGGTGGAATTTGCATAGGATGTTCTGTAGATGTCATTTCATTCTTAGATATATTCTGTAGATGCCATTTCATTTCTAAAAGACACCAAAGGACGCCAAAATATTCTTAAGTGCGATTTCGTGTTTATCTCTCTTAAACCGCTGGCAAAATGCGAATACGTAATCTGTTACTTTAAAATTTCGCCCACCTAAAGTGCTGTGAGCAAAATATCACCGAAAGGTGCAAATGGATTAGACTAACTCCCCTACATGTCGGAACCTTGAGAACCCTAATGTTTCGGCGAAAATAATCTGGGCGTGCTTCTAGTGAGCGGCTGTGGTTGAGCTATTGGCAAGCAGCACCCAACGATCACTGGATCACGATTGGATGTTTGGTCTACATTTTCGGCCAATCAGAGTTCGCCCTCATTCTGGCCGCGGGGTGGACTTCTTGGTCTTAGCAGCGCCCGGGGTTTGGACGTGGAATTCAGCATAATGAATTTAACTTGAAGGTTACTGACTTAGCTTCGTATTCAGGGTTCAGGTGCATTGGCACCACTGGCTCGCTAATCCTTCCCGTCAAGTGTAACGATCGTAGTGCGTGCTTGGGCTGCGCCGCCGGCGAAGCAGCTGATAGTTCTTCAGCGGTGCCGATATCAAATTTGATATTAATATGCATAGTAATGTGCAGAGACATTCTTGCACTCATATTAATCGGTCCGGTTGGTAGGATCAGCGCAGTGGTTGGCAGGATATGTTCTTTTACGTGCCGGATGCACCAGTTTTGACCAACTTGAATGTGGTAGAACACCGCCGCGCATACGAAGGATGAGCCCTCGCATCCACATAGGGTGTCTCCCGCTGCAGTCATGAACCGACACTCCTACTTCTGCTGAAGGATCGCGTGGCTACGCTATGATGCCGGTTGAACGAGTCCTCTATTCCTGTGTCGCGGTGACTTAACTGTATTTTGTGTAACCGGATAATGTCATGTGGTGTTCGAAGCTTGCGTCAGAAAAACGTCTCTTCTAGTGACGTTCCGTTAGGCGATTTAGAGTTTGGCTTCATTCGATAAGCCGACAAGAACCTTTGTATTCCTCGGAAGCGGCACATCATGTGGTAGCCCAGCAACAGGTGTCCATTAAACTGGAGCTTTCAGAAAGAGCGTCTCTACATTTACCGGCTAGATGTCTCACGCTTGTTTGAGACCAAACTACCCAGCGCAGAATCCACGCGAATCTCTGTAGTGGCAATGGACGCCCACAAATGTCCATACCACGCGGCCCAATAGATAATTCGCGTCTCTTACGCGTCACTTTTGCTTTAGGCAACCATGCCCAAGTGCACTTATTCCTTAGAACCATGTCTCTTCAGAATCGCTGTGTGCTCACTCGCCTCTTTAGCGAATCCCATCGTCAAGGAAAATATTTACGATAAGCTGCAAACCACAGCCACTGGGATATGCAAGCGCGATACGCCTTTAGTCGCCCATGACTAGAATGCTCGTATAGGCTGTGAGATGACCATACCCCCTTTACCATGGGCAAGTTTGGTCTAGGGCAACGCTATTAGAGCGTCACGAACGAGACAAATTGGTATGCAGATGGGTTTATAGGACTTTTCTAACAACACAACAACGCAGCCGACAGCCAACTACTTGTGCCACCTTGGAAATTACTTTGTTTCAATTAGTGACCAGCGCTCCGTATTTGAAGTATCTATCCAACGAGCTACTCAACGATACAGAGACGACTTTAGATAAAAAACTCAGCGTTAAGGCGCGCCTCAGTAGGATCCCCAACTGTCGATATGAAACTTCTAGGAACTTATTTCTACTAGACCGCCTCCCATACTGGTCAAATGTAGCCACCAGTATGGAGAAACTCGAATGATGGTGACTGCTGACCATCTCTGTTTACTTCATGTTTGTTGTGGTTGAAGTCATCATATAACCACTCACACAACAACAAATGAGAAACTATGATTTACCTGTACACCTTTTCTGTGCATGGCTGCCTTGCAACAAACGGACAGCTGATATCAGATACCTCGAAAGATAAAAACAATGATTGGGATACTTCAGCATGTCACTAGGTCACTCCGATGCCATTACATAAAGCTTAAATGATTCAAATTTTGAAGCCTTAGGACGCAAAACACAAGGTATGTCGTCATTCAGAAAATATTTTGGTCAGCTATTGCTTTAAAATAGTGTAACGAACTGAACGCTGCTCATTAAATCATAATTTTCTCCGGTTTCAGTCATTTAATGAGTAGGAAGAAGCCACTCAGTTCAACACACAAACGTCAATGGATTGTAGCACCACTATTCACAAACCTGTTTGTTGCATATGTACCACCACGGTTTACTTAAATCAAATCGAACTTGAGTAGTTGTCTAGGAGAAAATATTATTAACACCAATAACCCAAAAAGTCCACAGGTGGATCGGTGGGGAGCAATTAACTCGACAGACTGTCCTTCCACTTGTAACGAATGTTTTCTAGTGTTATCAGCTCTTTCAGAGGTTTCTAATTCGGATACAATCACTAAGCTTAAGTTCTGTTTCAGATGCGTGTGCTGGAGTTGTACTCAGGAATTGGTGGAATGCATTGTGCCTTCAAAAGTAAGTTAGCCTATCCAGGTTAACATTTCTGTAGTGTCTCAACTAGACTTTCAGGTGGTTGCGGCAATTGATATCAATGACACAGCCAATCGCGTCTACCGCGCCAACTTTTCACACACCCACGCCCCCAACAGGGTATTGGAAGTGAGCTTGTTCTGCCTACTTACAATCTTTTATATGAGAGTTTATCAATAGAGGAGGTGACATCATTCACTGCCGACATGTGGAGTATGAGCCCTCCTTGTCAACCCTTCACGCGCCTTGGTAATCAGAAGTATGAAGAGGACAACCGAAGTACTTCTTTCTTCTACGTCCTCGGTCTCATTGCTGCGTAATTGCTTCCTTTTGAATTCGATTTGTTGAAGGATCCGACCGAAATTCATCTTGCTAGAAAACGTCAAGGGGTTCGAGCATACAGAACCGTGGCGCCAGTTCTTAAAAGTGTTACACAATTGCGGATATCGGTATCAGGTGGGTACTTCATTTGTACATCCGTTGCCAGGTTATCCATAACGAGATTTTGTGACTCAGATCTAATGTATACTTTGAATGTGCCACCTCGAAGACGACCCAAAGTAAATGGGATTTCATTTCAAAAGGGACTGGTAAACAATCGGTAGTTTTTAATCGGACAACTTTTCACTTTTGACACAAACTCTTCATCAGGCCCAGTGAGCAGGTTACCGGTAGGTCATCGGAGGGCTCGGGGCGAGATGGGTCAGTGGTTAGAGCGCGAATTTACTGACCGGAACGTCCGTGATTCGAATCCGACCTCCGCCTCTTCTAATTTTCTGTCTAGGCTCGGGCAACCTGGCGGTATCTCAACCCTGGTGCTCCCTTTGGTGGCATGGCAGCTAGGCATCCAAAGGTGTTACACACCTGAACGATTATTATTCATTATTAGGTCATCGGTGGATTCTTCTTCGTACTACTTGAATCCTCTGATTGAACTCTATACTCCCCAATGCCTATGAGTGAAGAAAACTTACCATAACCAAAACGTGTGAAATTTCATTCACGCAACTTTTCCACTCCCAACCGTGTTGTAAGAATGTCAATAGTGGTTTAGTTACCTCAGGGCAATTCAAACTGAGCTCAATGTGATCGTGAATTCTTAGTTCCATCATTTATGTGAGTTCCAGAAAAGGGAACAACAGAGTTTCTACTCATTAAAAACAAGAGAAACAAGAACGGCACTGTGGAAAGTTACAAATATCAAGTGAACACTGACCTTTTTTGAGAGTTGGGGTTTATGCGAAAAAAAATCGTCCAGCTGTAGCACCCTTTCGGTGCCTAACTGCCACGCCACACAAATGAGGCATGGGCTCTCGGATACTGCCAGGTCGCTCAAGCCTAGATAGGGGAAGTCGAGAGGCAGAGGTCGAGTTCGAACCACGGACCTTCCGGTCAATAAATTCGCGCTCTAACCACGCCACTTGGTTCGGCCCCCCATCTGCGAACCAGAAGGGGATGAAGTGCTCCAAAGATTGGCTGATTTTTGGACAAAGAAGTAAGAGTTTAGTTCTCCAACGTGATGGAGATGGTTAGATGGGTTAAGAAAAGTTGCACAACGAACCAGAATTGGGAAAAGAACATTAGGAGTAAGTTCCAATAAATACCTTTTGTAGTGACGGCGGTAGCATAAAACGAGGTGCTACTCTGTTCTGGTAAGAATGTGTCCACAAGCTTTCAGTTAGGGAACGGCTATGAACGAAACGTACAGTTCTACGTAGGACTGAAGCGGGAGCAGGCAGTCAAGGAGAGAGAGAGAGAGAGCCCATTCCATAAGTGAAAGCGATATTCCAAAGTAGGGTGAATTAGGGATTTACAAAGAAAAAATCGGGGTATTTGTCCGAAACAGAAAATCAGCCTTTCTAGATACTCGTTCTCAGCTTTGACGTGTGTGACTAGGACAAGTTTGACTCTCCTGGTACGTGGCACTGAACCAGTTCCGGTAGAAGCATGCTACAATCTCAGCGGGACTTTTTGGATAAAATTTCCCTTCAGTGTGTTAACTCTTGTGTTGGATAAGACCGTATGGATGCTATGTGATTGAGTGACACGAAGGACCTGTGCTACTCATGCCTTGTCCAAAAAGGCGTGGCAAAAGGGCGTGAAAGAGATCACGAAGTTTCCAGATTGTTGAGCGGTTGGAGGTGTAGGCACCTCAGTATGCTTGACATAGGCCAGCACTAGGTCCCCTCCCTCACCCACTCTTTTTCTTTTCTCTTCACTGTAGGACTTTTAATACAATTATATATATATATATATATATATATAACTAAACGAACTTTATGGTTGTACGGCAGTGAAGCATCAGTGCCAACACTGATGTTGCTGTCATTGATGATGATGATG